TTGAATTAGTCATCTTCACGGTAGTGCATCCACCTCGTAATGCATCCATCAACCTTCTTGGCAACACATCAGTCGACATAATATAAAATATAACCAAAAGAATTTAAAAAGTAATTCGTGGCAATGTATCTGTCTCTTTGCCTTCGCGAGTAATAGTGCATCGTGATAATGCGTCTTTACTCGGTAGTGAGCGAATAGCAAAATTTGAATTAGTCATCTTCAGTCGACCTAATATAAAATATAACCAAAAGAATTTAAAAGTAATTCGTGACAATGCATCCGTCTCTCTGCCTTCGTGAGTAATAGTGCATCGTGATAATGCGTCTTTACTCGGTAGTGAACGAATAGCGAAATTTGAATTAGTCATCTTCATGGTAGTGCATCCACCTCGTAATGTATCCATCAACCTTCGTGACAGCACATCAATCAATCTAATATATACAAATATAAAAGAATTCAAAAAGTAATTTGTGGCAATACATCCACCTCTCTGCCTTCGTGAGTAATAGTGCATCGTGGTAATGCGTCTTTACCTGGGTAATGAGCAAATAGCAGAATTTGAATTAGTTATCTTAAAAATAAATGATCAGTTCACGATATTTTTAAAAAAATAGGACGTCTATATATTCTTACATATAAAATAACGTTTCTTGTCGCACCTGATCATCGATTTGATCAAAAAAGAAACTATTACCTCACGACCTTACTGGTGCTATGGTATCCAAATCTGTACAATATATATTAATCCATAAAAATTCACAGTATATCCGTAAAAACCCACAATATATCCGTTTGTGTGTGTATGCGTGTGTGATGCTTACAGGGGTCCGTTAAAGCCGTGTAGTTACACGTGATTTCAATCCGATCCGGATTGCAACCATGTGACCAAAATTGAATAGCCAATAAAAATACTAAATAGCGTTGACTCACCAGCAACAATATGCTTTAACATTCTCCACATTAAAAGTACTAATCAAGCAATTTATAGTGTTCTGGTTGACAGCAAAAATAACTGACCAATTAAAAATTTTATTTGATTGTTGTTGACATTGTTAAAATTGATTTTTCAAGACTACTTCCCATTTCATCAAATACTCACCAAAGAACCCACTAGATCCGGTCGCGACGAAACCTTACTAACCCTAACCAACACCGGTGGTCTCAGAAAAATCAGTCAACTTTGGATGCTTATATTTCTCCCAATATCCAACCAATTTTTGTGGCCCGAATACAAAGAATGTTCGGCTTGATTAGGCAAATCAAAGAGTTTGCAAAATTCTGAAGATCAGTGAGATATCGTTGTCTCACGATCCATTCATCATTTTGTGATCTTTCATGCGCTGACTTTGGATATAATATTTTCATCAATATTGTTGATCTAAACGCAAAAATATTCACCTTAATTATAAGACTATAGATCGCAAAGATCTGATTATGTGTTCCAGAAATGTAGCGTTCAATGATGCAATACAGAACAATGCGAGACCAAACCGGAAACCAGTCAAAATTTGCGACAGCACCAACGAAATGAAAAAACTAGACACCTAATAATGAAAGAAATGCCAAATACTCACATTCAAGAAACTTGGTATGAAACCAAACTGGTAACTGGTCGCGTAAGCTGTTAGTTATTATGAGTTTGGCCGCCATTTTCGTTTTGCTGATGTTGTGAATTTCTCCAGGTTGCGATCAGATTCCAATTTGATTTCATGGTGATAGTGTTTTTAGTGAGTATTTGACGCTTTTTTTCGTTGATGAGAGTCCCAGCCAGAATTTGCTGGGCCAACCACAAAATAAAAGATATTTGTTTTGATAGCAATGGTGTTATGCAGAATTCAGCCAATCATTGAATGTGATGTGTTACAGATATAGATCATGTGTATTAAGTCAATCTGGATAATTATGATTATCCAAGTTGACTTAAGCCTTAATTCACTACATGGCTTTAACAGTCCCCTAAATTAGGAAATTTGAAATTTGGTTCGGTAATACTGGTCCCAGAAAGATCGAAAGAAAACTGCTTTCATCATTAGCGAAGGATTATATGAATTCAATGTAATACCCTTTGGACTTACAAATACACCAACAACATTTCAGCGATTAATGAATAAAATCTTTAGATCATATATCAACAAATTCTTAGCTATTTATCTTGATAATACCAATATATTCTCAGAAATCTTCGAAGAACATTTACAGCATTTGAAAATTATCTTTGATATAATTTGAAAAAGTCGATTAAAATTACATCTAAACAAATACTATTTTGAAAAAATTTCATTAGCTTTTCTTGGATATATTATTGGAAAGAATGGAATACAATCTGATCCTGCAAAAATTATAGTCATACAAAACTTTCCAGTTTTAACTAATTTGATAATACTAAGAGGATTTCTAGGATTAGCCTCTTATTATCGATGCTTTGTTAGAAACTTTGCTAAAATTGCCACTTCATTACACCAACTTATGAAGAAAAAACAATCTTTCATATAGAATGATGATTGTCAAAAAGTCTTTGAAGAACTAAAATAACATTTGATATTATCACCAATCTTAATTTATCCTGACTTTGAAAAACCATTTCTCTTATATACTGATGCCTCTAGTTTTGGATTAGGTGCCGTACTTGCTCAAAAAGGA